AATAGGCGGCTGGGCCTATTAACTGTGGGCTTAATAACCGGCGACTACTGTATCGATGATCGTGCACATGCTGTTATTGTTCTTCCGAGACCAATCAATCATGGCTTTGAAGCTCCGTGAATTTAACATTTTACGGTACATGCGAATTTCCTCGTCTGGTTTTTCAGTTTTTAACACTGCCATCCTCACCGACAAATAACAAAATTACTGCGCGTCTACGCGGTCTACCGACAACCCTGACCGAGTCCAACTAAAAAAATGTTTTCGGCTAAATGCAATCCACCTTGTTCCAAAATGGTGGTTTCCAAAACCAATGAGAACATTTTCTGCCATTGCCACTGTCTGCCTTCATAAGCAATACCTTTTTATAACTCTAGTAATGGGGGACTCCTTAGTGTTGAGTAATAAATCGCAAATATACTAACTATTTCGAACCTCGTCAGAACTTGAGATAGTGGCTGTGGTGTCAAAGCAGAATCCCTTGATCACGGCAGGAACATCTTGTGAGGATAAGCGACTGAATTAGTAAACTCAGGAAGTGTATGGAGGCCGCGTTTCCTCATCAACAATCTGAACGTCCTTGAATGCAAAATAAAGTGTCTACACTGCGCACTTAGAAATGACTACTTTCCGTTCTGATGTCCAGCTGCGTGACATGTGTGTTTTTCTGTTTCTAGCCCTGAACTGTACAGGCAGTGCGGATAAGTGAGCTAAGTAATGTGCATTAAGCCCGATATATTTAACGATGAGATTGGAGGCATGTTTTGGCGACAATTAACCGGTTAGCAAAGTCCACCTCCCTTCGATCAGTGTCTCACAGAGAACCGAAGTCTAAGAGACAAATTAGTGATAATCTTAAGAAGTGCATGATATGTTCCCGTTGTCAAAATCAATTCTCAGATCACGGTAAGAAACTGTTTGCAAAAATTCTTGCAACTCCGGGTAGAGGCCTCGTTATCCCTTTGGTAAATCCAAAAATCGTACAGAAAGTACGGCTTCTGTCCTACGTTAACCTGTGTTGATGTGTGCGATTATAGACGAACGGGCATTCCCAACCTTTACCGAAGCAAAAGGGCGTACAGGAAATGCAGCGAACTGTTACAGTTGCATGCTCATTGCTGGTTCAAGGCTACCGGGGTGATGGCTGCTTTCATGGTCAATCTTC